GGGGCCTCTATGGGGCCCCTGGTGGAAGCCCTTTTCAGGCTGCCGTTGCCGCACCCCCCCGCAGCAGCAGCAGCAACAACAACAACAGCAGCAGCAGCAGCAGCAGCAAGTCTGCAGCTGCAGGTGGCCCACGTAGGCGAAGACGCCTTCAAAGGCAGAATGGCCCTCGGCAAACTCCAGGCGGGGGCCCTCGTCCCTGGGGCCCCCATAGGCATTGTGAGGGCAGCAGCAATCCACGAGGCCCCCAGAAAAGGTCTGCTACTGCTGCTGCTGCTGCTGCTGCTGGATTGGCTGCTGCTGGCGTTGCTGCTGCTGGCGTTGCTGCTACTAGATTTCCTGTCGTTGGGTTTGCTGCTGGATTTGTTGCTGCTGGGTTTGCTGCTGCTGCATTTGCTGCTGGTGGATTTCCTGTTGCCGAGTTTGCTGCTGCTGAACCTGCTGGCTTTGCTGCTGCTGAATATAGAATAGTTACTGCGGGTGCTTTTGGTCCGTGGCAGTTCAAATTTGCTGCTGCTGCTGCTGCTGCTGCTGGGAGCTACCTGCTGCGGCTGCCGCTATGGACGGGCTGCGTTTACTGGTGCTGCATTTGCTGTTACTGTTATTGCTGCTGCTGCTGCCGTTGTTTTGCTGCTGCTGCTGCTGTCGCTGCTGCTGCAGCTGTATTCACTGCCGTATACCGCTACGAAGGACTAGAGCTGGTGCCTGTAGATCAGGCGCTGCTGCAGCAGCAGCAGCAGCAGCAGCAAAAGGGGTCCCCGGGGCCCCTCAGTGGGGAGCTGGTGGTTGTGGGGGGCCTCTCGCAAGATGTCAGGGTGGGCGATTCGCTTGTTGACCTAGCAGTAAGTTGCTGCTGCTGCTGCTGCTGCTGCTGCTGAGGTTGCAGATATGTTGCACCAGTTTTGCAGCAAGAGGAGCAGCTGCATTTGCGGCTGCTGCTGTTGCTGCTGCTGCTACGCGGACGTCTGTTGACGGTGCTGCTGTTGCTGCTGCTGCTGTAGCTGCTACTGCTGCTGCTAAGGCCGTGGCTTCTGCTCCTGCTGCTGCGGTTGTTGCTGCCGCGGCTGCAGCAGATGCTGCT